ATAAAAGCCCTCACAGATTCCTTAAAAAACTAAAAATAGAGTTACCATATGATCCAGCGATCTCACTGCTAGGCATGTATCCGGAGGAAACTCTAATTCAAAAAGATACATGCACCCCAATGTTCACAGCAGCACTATTTACAACAGCCAAGACATGGAAGCAACCCAACTGTCCACTGACAGATGACTGGATAAAAAACGTCATGGCACAGATAGACAATGGACTCAGCCAGAAAAAAGAATAAAATAATGCCATTTGCAGCAACGTGATAGACCTGGAGACCATCATACTAAATAAGTCAGTCAGACAGAGAGAGACAAATACATGACATCACTAACATGTGGAATCTGAAAAACAGATGACACAAATGAACTTATTTACAAAACAGAAACAGACTCGCAGATGTCGAAAATAAACTTATGGTTACCAAAGGGGAAGGAGAGGGGAAGGGATAAATTGGGAGTTTGGGATTTGCGGACACTAACTACTATATATAGAATAGATAAACAACAAGGTCCTACTGTACAGCACAGGGAACTATATTCAATATCTTGTAATAACCTAGAAAGAAAAAGAATATGAAAAAGAATATATGCATATATAAAACAGAATCACTATGCTGTACAACAGAAACTAAGACAATAGGCTTCAACTGAAAAAAAACCAACCAAAAAAGAACGTCACCAGAGACTACTCTCAGGCTTGCGGCTGGTAAGATCCATTTAAGAAGGTGAGTTGAGGGGGAGGGTATAGCTCAATTGGTAGAGTGTGTGCTTAGCATGCATGAGGTTCTGGGTTCAATCCCCAGCACCTCCATTAAGCAAGTAAATAAATAAATAAACCTAAGTCCCCGCCTCCGAAAAAAAAATATATATATGTAAGTTGGATCATGTCACCCCAGGCTGTTCAAAAACCTCACTTTACTCAGAGTAAAAGTAAACGTCCTCATCACAGCCTACCAGGCCCTCCGCCGCCTGGTCCCTGGTACCCTGTGAGCTCCTCTCCTCCTGCACCCCCCGACCCCCGCGCCTTCTCTCCAGCCAGCTTCCCTGCGGTCCCTTCGCCTGCCAGGCACTCTCCTTCCTTGGGACCTTTGCTCTAGCTGCTCCCCCTGTGTGGAATGCTTCTCCCCCAGATACCAGCTTGACTAACATCCTCAGCCTGTTCAAGGCTCGGTTTAAGTCTCACCCTCTCACGAGAGCTATGCTAACACCCCACGACAAACTGTAACCCTCCCATATTCGCCTAAGCTTGCCTGCTCAGCACCTTTACATACCCTGCCGTTCGTGTACGCATCGGGCTTACTGCCTTGTCCTCTCTGCTAGGAGGATCCTCGTCTTGCTCGCTGACACACCCCAGGCACCAAGAACAGTAACTAGCCCTAACGGCAGCTCGCACAGGGCGTGCTCAGTGAGTAACCGTTCACTGAACGAAGAATTCCAGGCCCCATGAGCCTGTGGCCAACCAACGGCAGGAGACAAGTCAAGTTTGGTTTTTAAAGTGGAGGGGCCACCACCTCTTACTGCCTGGGAAAGCCACCACTCCCACCCCCAGACAGCAGGCCCGGACAGAGACTGAGGGCCACAGGGGCCATTTCTGGCCTTGTCACCTGACCGTCGGAGGCAAACTCCCCCCTCTGGGCATGTAAAGGCTGCCCCCTG